AATTAACAGAAAATATATAATGTAATGACTAATGATGTGATGAAATAAAATGTGGTTAGAATGAAAATCCAAAAAAAGGTTGAGAGGGAGATTAGAGAGGAACCAAAGTGAATGTCGGAAGATACAGGAAGGAGGTTGGTCCGTTGGTGTCGGCTACTAACGGTTGGGCCACGTCATCTCATCTCATACCCATTGTGGGTCCCTTCAATTGTTGACCTACTGACAAAGTGACAGTTGACCGTTCTATTTTACGGGTCTGGCCCCAACGTTTTCTATATCTTTGCCGACAACTACCCTTTCTTTGTCCTTTTTCTTTTATTTTTCAGTTTTTTTCCTCTATAATTTAACACACTGAAATAATAAAATTGTTGGTTCGAAAAAATATAAAAACAAAATTAATTTTATTATTTATTACAGACTTAGATTATTTTAGTTGGTTATATTTACGTCTGATGGCTATATATATTTATTAGTTGTGTATCATGTTTTATTATTTTTCAAATTGCAAACAACAACTATTTATATCTATAAATCGGTATTATAAATAAATTAGCAAAAATATAATCTAATCATCTAACTTGTGGTACTCTAGTGGTCAAATTTTTTTTATCAAAAGTTGAAAGATTAGGGTTTAAGTAATTCTTTTATTAAAACGTTAGTAATATAATAGTAGTTGATCACTTTACATTACATTTTCTCGAAGATTTGTCTGGATTTTGGTATAAAAATACTGTAGTTCATCACTGTAAACATTTAAATGGGAAAAATGCACCATTTTTCATTTATTTTGAAGAAGAATCTAGATTTTGGTATAAATATTTCCGGTTATAAGAAAAATATGAACTAATTTGCACATAGAAAAGGACGAGGATAGAACATATACAATACATATGTCCAACAACATGAAATTAACATTCTATAATTTTCCACATATTAATAATGATTTATCTAAATATTAGGTGCAAAAACTCTTACTCCTAACACCAAATGCAATATCAAAAAATTTCTTGATTTTACAACTTACAACGCATATATATATATATATATATATATATATATATATATATATATATCATCCTCTAATTTTATCACTCAAGAAAAAACTTACACTTTTTCAGATTTCAATATATATTTTAACATAATAGTTAGTTTAATTAGCACATATCACTAGGTTATAGATTTATGTATACAAATTATTCGTTTTTGTCTGAAAAAAATTATATACGTGGTCGCTGTTGTTAAATTAAGTAGATTTGAAGTAATGTTCCATTATAAAATCGAGCCGTGTAAAATTCGCGTTGATGAGTCAATGCATCGTCACGTGAGATCTTTAAGTCTTAACCACTCACTGCGTTACAAGATCTCCGAATCAAACAAAATCTAGTTTAGTTTGCGGTGAAATGAGATAACAAAACAAAGGGACCACTAATCCAATAAAACAAAATGTTTTTACTGTTGATAAAACAGGTTCCAAATTATTGCTGCTTCATAAACGTTGCGATTAGTGCATAACAAGTGATTGATATGATTAGTGCTGAACAAAATGTATTTGTCAACTAGGTTAAATGATAAATCATATCATAGATATATAGAATATCTTTTTGTAAGCAGTTAATTAATTTTCTTGTCGAAATTTTTTTTAATTTTCTTATATTTACTTTATAGAACTCAGATTATTTTATTGGTTTCCATCTAAATATGTGATATAATCACATACATATTCGATAATGAGACAAAATCTTGCCACACAAATACACAATTACATAATATACATACACTGATACAATTTTGTAATTAAAAGATTCAAGGAAATACACTGATACACATAATCTCGCAATAAACTATTTTCGATCGCCACTAATCATACTACTGTACGTATTATATATTATGGTATGTAAACCAAATTATATAATCATAAATTGTCCAAGGACATCACGCATGACTCATGATTGCTACGTACATGAGAGAAACTGAGATATTTATAATTGTTAAAAATTCATATTTGGTACGACTAATTATCTGGCCGAACATGAGAACATAGAATATCCACGTTAATGTAGTTCGAACCTAGATTAATAATAGAATGAGCAGTACTTAGCTTGTTGTATATATAGCCATAAAAAGTTATGTCTATCATAGATATTTTGTTGTAAAAAACATCGAAAGGAATCAAGAAGAAGATAGTTTGTGGGTTAGAACTTAGAAGATGAAGTAAAGCATCCCGTGACGGGCAAACTAGAAATTCGGAGGTTTCTCCGACATATAATGAGACAAAATAAGGTTCGAAATTAAAGGTAGTCCATGTGATCACTCGGATTCACGTTCATTATACGAATATGAATGTATCTGTTTCACACATTTAGCACATGCATCTGACGTATGGTTTTACTTGGTTTGATATACGTGTTGCATTTTGTAACAATTTTTAAAACATATATATCAACTTTTTTTTTTTTATATATATATATATATATATCAACTTATTAGACTATATAGTTGTGTTTATGGTCTATATATCATCTAGAATTACGGAGCTATATATTTGTCACGGCCCAATTATGGTGAACAGTGCATGCAATCAAATGAAATTAATTCAGAAGTTTAGATTTTATCCACTGTATTATACTGTCCGACAAGAATCTTTCACTTAATACACACAAGTATTTTATATTATATGTACGTATAAATGTTAGTCGATTCATTGACGTTTATATAAAGAAAAAAAAAAAATGATGGGCCTTCGTAATTGTACGTACTCGACAACATGCGTGGCGATGACTCACCTTATCCATATTTGATATTACTTTTTCTAGTACTCCTTGTTTTACATCACTTTCTAGTAATATTTAATTAGAAATTTAGAACCCTAGACTTTGAGACGGTAATATTTAATAATAATCTTATTAGAACAGTTAAAAAGCCTCACAACTTCATAATCAGTTTTGCTTACTAACTGTATTAATAACTGGTTGACAAAAAAAAAAAAAAAAAAAAAAACTGTATTAATAACTATGCTGGAATCTAACAATTCTATATTAACTTTGCATGAAAGTTTTACACCAAACACAATAGTACAATTTAGTCTAGTCTATCTAGTTGAATTCTAATTGCGAAATTTACATCCTAACAAACCTAATGAAATTCGTATTACTACTATACATTAATGAAGAGAAACAAAAAAAATCAACTAGCTAGAAGTTTGTAATCTGACATATCAATAAATGAAGAGAAAAAAAACGCAATATATATAGAAGTTTTGGGAAGATGGTTTGGAAGTTCAACAATCTCCATGAGTTCGGTTTGTGTTAACCAAAAACTATATAAATATATCAGTGTTCAGCTAGATGAGTTACTTACCATCAATTAGTTAAAATAAAATTCTATTAGGTAATCCAATCTATGGTTTAATTAGTGGTTAAAATTTTCCCTCTCAATATATATTAGAGACAAAGTCACAAAGATTTAAGTTTTTTTTAATTCCATTATGATTAACAAGCCACTGTAAATTTTTTGAATGAATATATATATCCAATTCTTTTTCCGATTTTTATCCAAGATTTCCGGTTATAGAAATAACGTACGTACAACTGTTTTCTTTTTCTGGTCTTTCAAATTTCTTTTTCTTGTTTAGATTTTATAAAATCGTTACTTGGTCTTATAGATCGATATGCAATGGCGAAGATACGTCCCTAGAGGCCCCTCTTTTGCCAAGACCATGTCACGATCTATCTTGCAAACGTTACTCATTTTACTATATATATATGTATGTATTATATTTATTAATTTATACACACGCGTATATCTTATGTAAACTTATGTCGATGCAGTAGGACCGTATGTATATGTGTGCGTATATAGATACGTGACCTAGTTTTGCTTTTGAGGCTCCTTCATCTCTCACATCCGTCGGGCCACGATCAAGCTCAATAGACGTTTTAAAGCTTAAAAAAAAACTAAGTTCTTTTTATATAGAAATGTAGCTTTCATATCTAACCTAAAAAATATTTGTCGTCAAAATAAAAAACTTAAGAAGAATATTTTAAAAGCTTAAGAGCTTAAAAACTAAAAATAACTAAATAGTTCGTATATATAAACATGTATTGTTCGTTAAATTACATTTATATATAGACTATACAAGTCTATTTTCAATATTAATATTAAAAAACACTTCACATGCATATGTTATTTGTCTTTATCCCACTCTGGCCAATTTAAATTTGAAAATATACGTAGACTTATAGATCAAATATCTTATCTTTTCATTATTGAAAAAACTAATGTAACATACTAACATGCTCTAATTAAATCTCCAACTTACAAAAAGAAAACGAAAAGGGCCATATCTTATACAAATTACAATTTCTCAGTTTTAAAAGCACACATTAAGCGGTCAAATTCCAAGTTATTTATTAGATTTAAATATTACGAAAACGTCCGATAATACAAAAACATTACTCCACTAATTTTTGTCGTTTATGTCCAGTTAAATATAATCATATATCTGGAATCTAAAACTATATTTTAAAGCATTTTCTAAAGTGTAGCATTTAAATTATGACATGTTTAATAACTAAATAAAAACTCTTCGTCACATTACAATCAACATAGCCAGGTATAATCAAAAGCCAAAGAGAAAAAATAAAAACAATTTCTCAAAAATGAAAAAAAAAAATCTAGAAAATCCTAATTTTGCCACTGCCAAAACAAACATACAGATATTTGCAAGTTGCAGCATTCAATATTTTGGCAACGTTTAAGCTCAAATTGTATATTATGAACTGGGCTAAGCTTATACTGCATAACATTTACATAACTGGGCCTATGGGCCATTCAAACTCATGAAAATAGTCAAATACATTTTAAAAAAACAAAATGACGTCGTTTCACATAGCTGAGTAGTGGAAAAAATAAAATTCAACAAATTAGTGAAATTCCAAAAAGTTATCGAAGAAACGTTCAAGCTGTGACAGAGAATCTCGGTCGTGTCTTCGTTTGTCTCCGACGAGCTCTCTTTCTTCTCCGATTAGATCCCGTGAGAAGAACTCAAAGACTCTAGGGTTTTCTCTGGGATTCAATTGACTGTTTTAGATAATCGTAAGAAAGTAATCGATGATACTATTGCAGTCACATTCAAGGTTTCTTCTTCAAACGCTATTGACGCGAGCTCAAAAGTAAGTGCTTTTCGAATTCTCAATTAGGTTACACTCTGTTTTTAGTCTTACCTAAAAGACCCATTTGTTGGTTTGGTCGATTTGATTGTGATTTTTGAAGAAATCTGAAACATTTTCTAAGAACTGGGTTTTGTAGAATGGAACCAAAGTTCAAAACTTTGTTTGATTTTGTTTTTGTTCAGTCTTGATAAAGCAGTGGAGCTAGATTATCAATGGATTGAATTTGATGATGTTCGTTACCATGTTCAGGTGAATTTTTATATCAGACATTTGACCTATGAGATCCATATGATCTTGTTTAATGTTGTGAGATTATACGAATTTGTTTGATAGGTGACAATGAAGAATCCAAATCTCTTGTTGCTTTCGGTTTCGTTACCGAATCCACCACCTGAAGCAATGTCCTTTGATGGACTTCCTTTAGGAGCTATAGAAGCTATTAAAACCACTTATGGGACGGGTTTTCAAATACTTGATCCTCCAAGAGATGGTTTTAGTTTAACCTTGAAGCTCAATTTCTCTAAAGTTCGTCCAGATGAAGGTTTAAACGAGTCTCTTTTCTCCAATCGATAAAAGATGATCGAATGATTCTACTTGAATTGCTTTGGATGTTGATTTTGTTCTCTCATGGAATGTATCTATGTTTTGGCAGAGTTATTAACGAAGCTAGCTTCCATTAGAGAAGTTGTGATGGGTGCGCCGTTAAAAATCATTTTCAAGCATTTAGCTTCAAGAACGGTTGCTCCTGAGCTGGATAGGCTTGTAGCAATTATGCATAGACCTAACGAGACATTTTTCCTCGTGCCTCAGGTATATATACTCTATAGGTCTTTCAAATGTAGCCATTGAAGTAGAATTTTGGTGATTAGTTTGAGTTTAGAGTGATAGAGAACTTAAATGTGTATCACAGGCGGATAAAGTCACTGTGGCATTTCCTATGAGATTTAAAGACTCCGTAGACACAATTCTAGCGACTTCTTTCCTAAAGGTGACAAAATGATCAAAGCTAAAATGTTCATACAGGTTTTGAGTTCTGTTGTTACTGAAAATATGGATCTTATAATATAGGAATTTGTAGAGGCGAGGCGTGCTGCTGCACTTAATACTGCTCCTTCTTGTTCATGGTCTCCAACCGCACCGCAGGAATTAGAAGGAGCTCCTAAAGAAACACTATCCGCTAATGCCGGTTTTGTAACTTTTGGTATGATCTCTATAAAAAATATTCTGTTTGATCTTAATTTGCATTGGTAGTACCAACCTGAAAGAAACTAACTTTGAGATTATCGATATATCGCAGTCATTTTTCCTCGGCATGTGGAAGGGAAAAAGCTCGATCGTACTGTCTGGAATTTGTCAACCTTTCATGCTTATGTTAGTTACCACGTCAAGGTTAATCTACTTACATATTCACTAAATACCAAAACTTAGTCCTCTCTATCTGACTATGAATTTGTGAATCTGATATTTTGTTTGTTGTTGTTATATCACAGTTCTCAGAGGGATTTATGCACACCAGGATGCGGCGTCGCGTGGAATCTATGATTCAGGTAAAACACCAAACTCGTTACATTCTATTCAACTGCTTAAACGGTTTCATTACATTCGAATTGGATATGCCTTCTTTAGCTAACAAAATCTTGTTGACTCAGGCTCTGGATCAAGCTAAGCCATTGGAGAAAACAAGATCGATGAACAACAAGTCATTTAAACGGCTAGTAAGTGGCGAAACAATGTGGTTTTCGACAGACTTTTTATATTTGTTTGCATTGTTTTTGAGCTTTGTTTCTTCATCTTCTTCACAGGGACTCAACGATGCCAATCACACCAACTCGAAGTAGTTTGATTTCTCACAAAGCAATTTTGTAAAAACTTGTGAGTAGCTGAGACATGTTTTTTGTACTGGATTCAGTCTCTGTGATATTTATTTTTAGTACAATTCTTTCAGATATTTCTATACATCTGATCCTGCGAAATATTTGAACAAATGTATAATGTGAAAATTGTAAGAAATTCACCTTGATATGGACTGTGTCTGGTCTTAATCTAAACAGAAATAAAGATTATTTTTGTTTTGTTTTATAATTGTTGTTACAAGAACATGAAAGAGAACAAACGTTCAAATTACCTTTATACACAGATTTATCAAAGATTTGGATCTTGAGTAATCTGGTAAGGTATAAGATTAATAGGAAGATTCAAAGGTCGATTGAATTAACAATTCCTTTGTAGTATATAAACTTTTGATGCCCATAAATTATGACTGGGCATGTTTTGTTAGGTTCCATCAAAAACCAGATCTTCTCTTGTTTTATGTATAGTAAAAAAAAGAGAAAAATACGAGAAATGGCTTCGCCCGGGTTCGAACCGGAGACCTTCAGTGTGTTAGACTGACGTGATAACCAACTACACCACGAAACCTTTTTGCTTTATTTGATGTTGTTTTGGTTTATTTATTGTATTGGTTTATTGTATGATGTTGTTTTGGTTTATTGTATTGGTTTATTGTATTTGGTATTATTTGATCACCTTCACTTCTTCGCAAACCATGTTATAATCTCTCATTGGCTAAGAACTAGTATATAGTTTTGAGAATGGATAAAGAATCTGGAATTTATATTTGATAAAATGATGTCTTATGCTTTCCGTTAAAGAAATTTTGTCTGATTATTTTTGGATATGAAGTATTTCACCTAAATCCATTTAACAGTAAACCAAATAACGTGCTATAATATCGATTTGATAACAAACTATTTATATAGAACGGTAGATTAAGATATACCATATAGCATACAAACTGTGACAAAACTTTAATGAAATCAGAACAAGATCACTAGATTTTTGGTAAATTTCTAGCATTTATCTTATGTTTGGTTTTATTCGGATAAAGACTATAAGAGTAATTGGAATTAAAAATTCTACAAACATGGAAACAAATTAAATATAAAAAAACACGAAATAATTTATTTTTAGAAATATGAAAGTAGAGTAGCATGATTCTAGTAGACGGGAGCACGAGAGACAAACGCGTTCTCTCTTCTCTCCCAAAAATTAGATCTAGCGTTTTAATAACATATCGCCATTTTGTCCCTTAGATCTAGTGGTTTTCCCTAGTGTGTGAGGAGACATCCTATGTTCTCTATTTCAATGGTGGAGTGTTCAGTTATTTGCGGTTCGGCAACTGGCTCGACGTGCCATAGCTCATGTCCTCGACAATTCCTTTTTCTAGATGGCCTCTCTTCCTCCTGTTAGCTCGAGGACGGCTATCAGATTTGAGAGATTCATTCATGCTGGTCTCGGAGATTGTTTGAGTCAATGTCTGGTTGGTATAGCTTTGATTGGTTCTAGTATTAGTAAAAAATAGAATCGATTTTGGCTCGATGTTGGTTTCAAGGCCTCACTCTTCGCCTTTTCCTCTTTTTCTTATATCAGATCTAGGTTGAGTGATGGTTTTCTAGTTCTTTTATCTCCCATTGCTCGTGCGACTGATCTCCTCAATTGGTGGTCGACAGTGTTGAGAGTGGTGTCAAGTGTATGTGGTTAGCCTCTACCTACTCACCAGATTCAGATTTGTTTTACTTATGGTTTGTTTCCATTGGGATGGTCATGCTTTATTTTTATGTTTTCGGCATCGTATTCTCCTCACTAAGTGTGTAATGAAAGTTCATGTTGCGAGTGTGTATCTCACTCTGTTTGACTTTTGCTTTATCGCGTTCTATTGGGTCATTGGTTGGTTGTAGTAGTACAATTAAAAGGAAAAATTTCTGTCGGTAGGTCTCCTTTAGCAGCTTAGAGCTTGTAGAAGGAGATACGTAGTTTTGGAAGAAGGTTGTCAGGATGATGTGGCATCTCCACTAGCAATGTTGGAGTCTCGAAGATCCTTAGTCTTTTCAATTTTGGGTGCTTCACTTGTTTGCAGTTTGAGAATGCAGATTGTTTGCTGAAAATATGTAAGTTATGCCGATGTAAGGTTTTGAGGGCTAACCTTGGATCGTAGACACTTGTGGCAACTCAAAGTCCAATTTGAACTTGTTTCTTTACGAAGACTAATAAATTCAGTGCTCCTCGCAGTTGTCGTGAGAGGGCTTTACTTTTTTTTATGTTTTCAGTACATCGTTGTGCCCTTCAGTGATTTTTCTTCGGCCAATATAGTGTTGTGGTATAGTAGTACAAGCGGAGACTGATGGTGTGGTGGTTCGATGTGCCTTTCCTTCTAACATCGACAGTTCCACCATTTAAACGACTTCTACCCCTTCCGACTCAATTGAGAAAGGTGATTTTATTTTGAGTGAGATTTTGTCTATGTGGTGTCGTGGCGTTTGGAGGTTTAGGTTCTTGTTGTTACTGCTATGATCGGTTCTAGTGGCGGTTAGGTGCGACGTTTATGATTGGTTGGCAAAGAATTTTTAGGAGTTGCCTTTTTTTTTGTTCAGATCGAAGTTCGCAATGATTTTGTTTTTGGATATATCGTCTTTTATTGCTCATACGGTCAACTTCCTCGGCTGGTGGCTTGTCATTGTTCAGAGCGACTGTAAACATATGTTAGTTTTTATTTACCTCCTCGTTGGATTCTCCAAAGCTCTTGTGTATTGTTTGCCTTCGTTACGAGGTGGTTTAATTTTTTTAGGCGTTGTCGTGGTTGCAATTCTGGTAAGCGTTGGCTTGAGTAAAATTGTAGTTCGATGGTTTATTCGGGTTTGTCTTCTCTGGTGAAATGTTCTGTTCTTGATCGGATACGGTGCTTTTTGCCTCTCTGGATGTGGTTAATGTTGGTGGATTTTTATTGGTAGCTTTTTTCGCCGAATATACGTTTTCTTTTCTATGGCGGGTCTGACGTGGCGAAGTTGTTGATCTTTTCCTAGGCTGCTCATCTAAGTGGCTAATGTTGATAGATTGGCATTAGTTGCTTTTCCGGCAAATCTTCGGTTTACTTTTTGTGACGGGTCCAATGTGGCGAAGTTGTTGATCTTTTATTCGGTGGCTTCGGGTTTGGTTACTCCTCGTCTCCTCGGATGTGCTAACTCTTTTTGCGATTCTAGTTCTGTTGTGATCGTTTGCTTGAATTATATGGTCTCATCCGAGATTGTCATCGGAAAAGTTGTATGCGCTTCATTTTCTAAGGTGTTGAGGGCTGGCGTTGGATCACAGTTGCTCGTGGCAACAAAGTTGGTATTTTCGAGTTTGAGATCTTCATTTGGAATTTAAATTGTGTGTCTTCCCTTTAATTTGTATCTGATATCACCAAGGTGTCCTTATATTATCGGTTTCTTTGTTTGGTAGTGGTTTTTTGTTTGCTCTGTTTGTTTTTGTAGCATTCGGATCCTCCGTATTTTTTCGTATTGTTTCAGTCATTCCGTAAAACATTAACAATGATATGAAAATTAAAGATTTTTCTAAAAAAATATATTAAGGAAAAAAATTAAAAAAAAAAACTAAATCAAAACATTGAAATTAATGTTAAAAAGTGAGAGAGAGAAAGTTAAACTGAAATTGAAAACAATTAATAGCACAAAGTTCTGTGCTTCTGTTATTAACTTTTAAAAAAAAAAAAAAAAAATTATTTCAAAATCCCTTTTGTAATTCCCCACATTTTCCCACCTATTACACTTGTTAGCTTGCTTCTTTTTTTTTATTTCTTTTTTTTTTGTTCAAAGTCAGATTGCTTCTTCCAATATCTATATCTATAATAGTTACTCCCTCTGTCCCAAATTATAAGAGGTTTAAGGGTTTTTTCTTTGTTCCATTTTAATAGATTTTTTCAAGTTTCAATGCACTATTTATACTTATTTAATAGTTTTTGACTGTTTAAATTATGCAGTCTTTTTTTTAATTGGTTGAATTTTTATAAATAAGAAAACATTTATTATTTCTTAATCCTTGTGCTTTTAGCCAAAACCTCTTATAATTTGGGACAGAGGGAGTATATATTATGAATTTTTTAAACTAACTTTAGGATTTGCAACAGATTTGTTATTATCTAGTGAAACAGATTTGCAATTATCCCGTAGTTGAAGTAAATATATACATAAAAAATTGGTGACATGATCGTAACAGGAAAATTTCTTTCAACAGCTTTTTTGACATCCGATTATTTAGCTTGCTGTTAATGGTTTTATATTTTCGTTAATCATCAGATATGTTCTAGAAGATTATTTAGCTGTTGTTACCAAAAGATTCGTGTGATATGTTATGCTCGAGGAAATAAACTATCAAAATATTATTCACTTTTATAACTATTACTCAAAACAAAAGATTTCAAAGAAAATTCACTTTTATAACTATTACTCAAAACAAAAGATTTCAAAGAAAATTAATATAGGGAATAACTATTACACGAATATTTCTTTAAAAATATTAACAGTGATTAAAAAAATCCATTAAAACTGAGATATATTTTTCAGTTTCCCTTTTTAATCTACATTAATATAACTTTACAATTTATTTATCAAATATGTACACATTGTTAAGGCAGATGTGTATATATATACTTTTTCTCTTAAACTTAGATACTTCTTCTGTCAGATTTTTACTTTTTATTAGACCATTTTCATTTTCCAAATTAAGGAGTTTTCTCTTAATTTTTAAATTGTTTAAAAAAAAAATGCACGCTAAACAATAGTAGATCTAGTTTTCCTATATCATCGATGCCACAAAATCTCTGTACTCTATTTCTGAAACTAGGGGTCTGCGAAGAAATATTTTGATCGTATTGTTATAAATGGATAGTTGGATACAATTAAATGTTATCAGCTAAAAGAAAAAACAAGAGATAAATAATTCTTTGTTTAAATTTTCTACTTTCCAACTAAAATTTTGTTTCCTCTCATTTTTCTTGATAGGTGAAAATTAAGAAAAATTCAAAGCAAAACTCAATTTACCTTAAAAAACATGATATTGTTTAAAAACGAGTTAAAACATTAAACTTCCGCTCTACATACATAAATACACACCACAATATGGTATCAGCGACAAATTAGTGAATGGAATCTTAAGCCTTGAATGGTAGTGATTTTTTCAAATGATTTTTGGTTTTAGTTTTTCCAAAAATCTACTTTATAACCATTCAAGATTTTGA